CGAATTTTGTGCATCGGGCCTACTAGGCATATATATATGCCTAAGTGACCATTTGACTGGTAGCTATGATGCACACTGACCACCAGGGGGGCAGATGCTCAGTGCACAGGCATGGAAACATGGAACAGACTGATAAATCTCAGAGGAGAGTGGGAAGAAGGGAGGGCGGGAAGAGATTAACCAAAGATCTTATATGCATACTAGAGGCCCTGTGCACAAAATCTGTGCACTGGTGGGGTCCCTCAGCCTGACCTGCGGGGATCAGGCCAAAACCGGCAGTCTGACATCCCCCGAGGGGTCCCCAGATTGTGAGAGGGCACAGGTCAGGCCAAGGGACCCCACCAGTGCACAAATCCATGCACTGGGCCTCTAGTTAATAAATAATCATACAAAAATACTTTGTGTTTTGTGTACTCACAACTGTAAACCTACTTTTGGCCCACCTTGTGCTTCTAATGTTTAAAAGAACATGGAATTTAGGGAGTTGTTATTGGTAAAACTAGGGAGCAAGACACATATATGCTTAAGTGAACATTAAATTTCTCTGTAAGGATAAGCATAGAGCTCCAAGCAGGGATGGCGACTGGCGTATTGGCAAACCGTGGGGAGGAATGGGAGTGGGGCTTTCCTCTGTGAACCGTTTTGTGCCTTTTGAATTTAAACCGCATCAACAAATTGCCTATTCAAATACATTGTATCTTTTAAAAGAAAGAATAGTGGGAGGGTAAGTGGATGCAGGAAGTATAGGCAACAGCTCTTGTCGAGTTTGTTGTAAAGCTGGCAGAGTCCACCTCTTCCTAGCTCTGTGGCCCCGGGAAGTCAGTACATGTGTCTAAGTCTCCTGGATTTGGGGGTAGCAATACCTGCCATCTAGAATTACCTTGAAGATAAACTAAGAATATATATCAGGCACAGCACAGCAGTAGCATACAGGAAGGACTCGATAAATGATTGTTATTGTTATTGAATTATTATAATTCATGAGTCCATAAAACTGTTGAAAACTCCTAGAACCACTAGATGGCATCAGACTCAAATAAAGGGGTGCTCGTTTCACTTGCTGAACACCCAAAACAGGGGAGATGTTTGTTTTCCTTATTCCCTAGTCCTTTCCCTCACATCTCACAACTCCACGCTTCTCCTCTGCATTCACCGCTCAGCTGGGCTGGGGCACAAGGGACTTGAAGTTCAATGCTGAACAGGGCGGAGGTAGAGGCTGTTCTGGGCTCCTAAGGTTCCGCCTTTCCTTTCATATCTTCCTTTGTAACGAGTGAAACATGACTGAGTGGGAAAGATACTGAAGGTCAGAGACAAGAAGGGAAATCACATGGTGTTGGGGGCAGGCGGGGTGAGTGAAGAGAACTAGAACTCTGGGGCAAGCAACACTCCCTGTGGTTGCTAAACAGACCACACCGGTAGGGTTTGTCTATCAAGACCGACTGCCTTGACTGTCAGGGAACATTCTTCTGTGTCCCGGACATAGGTGTACCTGGGAGTTTGTCCTGAGATAAATTGGGGGACATCTTAAGACCCTATGGTCCACTGCAGCTTCCTGCACTGCCATCGGCGCCGACTTTTCCTCCCGGCTCTATCGCTGCTGAGCTGTGGGGTCAGGCCACTTTCCTTCCTGGGTTTACAGTATTATGGGTCTGTGGGTGCAGTTGTACTGAGGATACCACAGAATTTTAACAGATCGTCTTCTTCATGAGGGCTGGTTTCCACAGGTAGGGAGGTCCAGGAATTATAATTCCCATTGAATAAAGGCAGGAAGGACCTTTGGCGGGCGGGGGAGGGAATCCGGCTGGCCTGCGTCTCTCCAAAGCCATGTTTCACCCTCACGACGTTCAAGAGCCGGAGCTGTGGCGCTGCGGGCGGGCAGCCAGGGTTCTTCCCACCCGCTGCCTAGTTTCCAGGCAGAACAGAATCCCCAGCAGAAGCCTGGCCAGCTCCCCGCCAGCGCTGGAAAGTACCTGCTGTTTCTGGGAATGTGAAAGCTTCTGCTTCCTAGAATAGGAGCCTTCACAGGTAGCCCCTCCCAGTAACCAGAAATGGGTGCAGCTTTGCATTTCATTGGTTGGTCCCTGTAGGGAGGACTGAGAATGAGGACAGTGGAAACAGATTTGTTCACTTACCCAACAGACATTTAGTTTTGTCTACAATGACTCGAGCCCTGTGCCAAGTAGTAGATAAGAGCTTATTAGGACACATGGCCTAGTGTGGGCTCTAGAGTCGGGCCTGGATTCAAAGTCCGGCTCCACTGTGTAAGCTTCGGGAAGTTATTTAATCTCTTTGAGACTCGGTTTCCTCATCCATAAAATGGGGATAATAATAGCCAACCTCATAGGACTGAGAATAAGGACTCAAAATGATAACACATGAAAAGCACCTAGCACAGTTCCTATTCACATTAAACACTATAAACAGCAGTTATCATCAATTTTTTATTAACATTGTTAATTATGGAACTGAGCTCTGCCCCTCCCTACCCTGGCTCCCAAAACATCAGACGCTGGTGGGAATGGGGAAGGATACAGAGGGGCAACCTCGTGAAAATCTATGTCCATTTGGCTACTGTAGCTCTCAAAGAGCAGATAAAAGACCAGCAGGATAGCCGGCAAAAAAGTAGCTGTGGTCACCTCTGGGAAGGGAAACAGAGGTCAGACCTACTTCTCCATGTGAGTGTGTGCTGCTTACAGCACAAGAAAAGTATTTTAAAATACATTTATTCTGCACAGTACACGGCTCAGCACCAGGCACTGCGCTGCTCTTCGCGGAAATAAGGTCGCTGGGCACAGACAGCAGCCCGCTCAGCAAACAAAGGCACGCGTGGTCCAAACCTGCATCACGAAGCCACCGAGGCCGCCGGGAGGTGCAGCCCAGGAGGCTCAGAGCGCGCTGCTCCTCCGAAGGCGGCCATGGGGGGCCAGTGCCGGGCCTCAGTCCTCCAAATCCTCCAAGCCCTCCACGCCCTCCAAGCCCTCCCAGCCCTCCAGCTGCTGCGCCAGGCGGGAATAGAGGTCCTGGCCGGCCCGGAGCTGCTCGCGCTCCAGCAGCTGCCCCTGCCGCAGCACCAGCACCTGGTCGGCGCGCTGCACCGTCTGCAGCCTGTGAGCGATCACCAGCACCGTGCGGTCCCTGCGGCAGCGCCAGTCCTGCAGCTGCAGGGGTCACACAGCCTCAGGACGGGCGCCACACCCCCGGCCCGCCCCTCCGGTTTAGGGTACAGACGGCGAGAAACCCAGGAAGCAGGAAAGGGCCCACAAAGGTCTGCATTGCCCTTCTCAGCCACAGGCCGCAGGACGGGACTGCCCCCAGCACCACATGCTCCAGCCTCTCCTGCCCTCCCCCCCCCACACACACACACAAGAAGACACAGGTGCTCCGTCCACTGGGGCCCCTGCCCCGCCAGGCCCGCCTCCCCGCACTCACCGCCTGTTCGCACTGCACGTCCAGGGCGCTGGTGGCCTCGTCCAGGATGAGCACGCGAGGGTCCCGCACGAGGGCCCGGGCAATGGCCAGACGCTGTTTCTGCCCCACGGCCAGCAGGTTCCCCTTCTCCCCTACGTCTGAGAGGCCACGAAACACCCGTCTTCACCTACAAGTGGCCACGACCCCCTCCCACAAGCAGGGACCGGGCACAGCTGGTGTTTCCTTGGCAGGCGAGGAGCCCTGGGTAAGGGCGGGGTGGGGTGGCACCCGCTGGGCTGCCCCGGAGCGCCTGGTGCTGGGAGGGGCAGTAGGGGCCCGGGGGAGGGCGAGGGAGCAGAGACCGTGGAGTTACAAGGGCACCGCCCTCACCCAAAAGTAAGCTCCCGTTTGTCCGGGCGGAGGTACCTGTATGTAGTCCGTGCGCCATTTCCTTTATGAATTCGTCCGCCTGGGCCGCCCGGGCAGCCGCCATCACCTCCTCCTCGCTGCAGCGCTGCAGCCCGTACGCGATGTTGTCCCTCACGGAGCCCGAGAACAGCACCGGCTCCTGCCCGACCACAGCCACCTGCGCGGAGGGAGCGGGGGAGGTGGCGCCTCCGGGGTCCTCGCCCCCCCCCCGAGTGCCCCCATGACCCCGTGCCCTCTGCACCTGCCCCCCTCCGGCTCCTGCCCTTCCTCCCACACACCTGCCGGTGCAGGTAGCGGTGCTCGTACTGGGCGAGGGGCTTCCCGTCCAGCAGCAGCGTCCCGGCCGTGGGCTGGTACAGGTTCTGCAGCAGGGCCGCCACGGTGCTCTTCCCAGAGCCATTGGGCCCCACCAGCGCCGTCATCTGGCCCGGGCGCAGCGTGAAACGTCAGCCCCTGGGAGAGCAGGAGACTAAGGCGCCTCTCCTCCCTCCCCGCGGGCCCTTCTTTCCACCAGAGCGAGGCCGGCCCTCCGCAGCAGCGGATCCAGCTCCGAGGCCTGGTCACGCCCGGCAGCCGCAGGGCGCCGT